GGGGAGGCGGCCCATGCCACCACTATGGGGCTGGGACTTCGCCAGGGTGGTGGAGGCTCACAAGACCACCTGTCTTCTCGTCCACCTGAGATTACTTGGCGTATGGCCTGCCCTCCTTCGGCCATCTCCAGCCTGTCAAACTTCTCCCTCAGACGTTCGACCGAGTGGCTGTGGATCGCAGTCAGGTACTTCCACTCTCCGGACTCATCCCAAGTGGCCGGTTGTTTTGCTTTCATGATCACAGGTGAATGGAAACCCTGCGACGAGATCAGTGAGAACTTGACCTCTGCAGCTTTCAGTGTACACAGAGTGGTAGGGCAGCATCTTGACTGCCAGGTCCCCCCGAGGACGATTGCTTCCTCCCTCTGAGTCAGCTTTTGACTTCACGGGACTTCGGTCTCACTCCGGCTGCAAGGACCGCACTCTCGACCAGAGCTGCCTGCGCCCCATCTGCCACCGCCGCTCCGAGGCTCAAGATTGAATCCCCTTTTCCATTTCTGCGTCTTCCCTGAGTCTTTGTCATTCTCCTAGAGTCTAGGTAGGCGACCATGGCTCAGGACCCCGTGGGTTAGTGAATTTTGGAGTCTTGGTTTAATGTCATGGTTCCGATAGATGAGACCAGTAGAAATAAGAACTCTGAGACAATAGCTTTCCTCAAAGAACACATTTAATGGCTACATAGTATCGGCACGAACAAAGGTGAAACCAAGACTGAATGTCCCCCCCAAGGTTACAATGTAACAAGTTGAACTTCCCACCCCAGCAATATGTCATAAATCACAATCCCCAATTAACTACTTTGGCGGGCTTTTTAACGTAGGTAGCTTGACCTTGGTTCCCACAGGAAAGTTATTGTTATGTCTAAACTAAAAGAATACATCTCCCCCCCTCTCATTGCTGTGGCAACTGAAAACTAAGTGAAGATGGCTGCAGCCAAGATCATTTGAAAGTTGACACTAGATTTTAAGGGTATTTTTATTTGCTTTTTATTACTATTAATACAGTTTTACTTTTTGTGTTACCATAAAATGACTAAGCCGTCACCTAATTCTTCCGGAATAAATATTAATAAAAAGAGAGTGATGGTGAGAACTGGGGAAAGGAGAAAAATGAGTTGATATGAGCATTTTAGACACAAACTATAAAAAGCACTCCAGTGAAAAATAAAAAGCTATCTCATTGAAACAGGAGGTCACACAGTCCTGATCCTTAAAACATGTGATTGGAAAAATCTGGGGTTTTGCAGCACCTCAGAGTTCTCTTGGTCCTAATGTGTCACTTGACTGCTGGTTTTTCTAGGAGTGTGTCAGAGTTATTTTGAGATGAATTAGTTTGGCTACTTGATTTCTCAGTTTGTAATAGTTGCTAAGCCAAAAGCCAGCCAGGTACCTCCATATTCAATTTGGGTCATTCAAGGACATGTTGTATTATTTGCTGTTATTGTCTACGTTCTGCCATCTTTGAGGAGTTGTAAGAAGAAGGTTAACTGCACCTGAGTTTCTTTTGAGCAGTGGTTTAAGTGCCACCTGCTGCTCCCCCCCCCCCAGCACAATATTGCCTCTTGTTTTTTTATTTCTACATCCCTTAATTCCTGATACTGGGTAAAAGCGGATTGAAGTATCATTATTTCAATTTTGGAACAGCGCAAGGGCCAGGGACTCAGTTTTCCAGACTGACAGGGACAAAGCTTTTCGGTGCAGGGTTTCTCCGACACTTTCCCCCCAATAGAGCTGACTGCCTTGGGGTAAAATCCCCACAGATTATTAAAATAAGCTTTGTGTCACAGAATGAGGGAGGAAGAGTGTCAGAGGATACCTATACCCATCTGTAAGAAAGTGATTAGCAATTATTTCAATTTGTTGGTATTGTCAGATGTAATTTCTCTTGTTTCCAGTAAATTTGTTGTGTATGATTCAACAAATACTCAGTATGAGGTGCGTAAAGATGTATGAGCTCCATTTTAGCAGACATAAAAATATTCTTTATCGTGATTATTAACCAGCACAAAGGAAATCTATACGCAAACACCGAAAGCTGAAATAATATTAGAATAATTTGGAGGAATATATGCAAAGAATTTTGACTAAAATCAATATATTATATAAGATATAATATTATTATATAAGATATATTGCATAAGATACCTGCACTGGCTATATGGGTGCAACAAAAAAGGGGTTAAGATTAACACACTAGTATAAACTTTTAAGAAAATATTTTATTCTAAATATGCATATGTGCTTAGGCAAATACATCATAGCAGAGTGAAACAGCTCGATAACTATATCTACCCTTTAATATGGGGACAAACTTAATTATTTCTAATAATTATAGCAGAGAGATACTAATAGATAGATAGATAGATAGATAGATAGATGGATGGATGGATGGATGGATGGATAGATAGATAGATAGATAGATAGATAGATAGATAGATAGATAGGGAAATGATAGTTTCGATCGAGAATCTAAAATGCATAAAAAGCCTCAAGCTTTTGTGTTTCTGGATGTTCCATAGCAATAGCACTTAGCCTTATCTTCTGCTCCATAGAGCTTTATAACAGTCTCTGAGTGGTTTACAAATATTAGCATGTTGCCCCCAACAATCTGGAAGGACGGAAGGCTGAGTCCACCTTGAGCTGATCAGGATCGAATTCCTGGCTGTGGGCAGAGTCAGCCGGCAATTCTGCGTTCTAACCCCTGCGCCACCAGGACTCCATCCAAAAGAGATTCCAGCACAGCAGGTTCTCACAGTGGAAATTAAATGGAGTATGAATGATTATTATTTTAGTGCAGAACCACATGCAGTTCGAAGAGTAAAAATTCTCTAAATGGTAATAAAAATCTCACAGCCATTAGTCACAAACCCCAGCTTGGTAGGCATCCTATTTAGGATTAAATTGGAAGAAAGAGCCCTGCCTCATACCATGTATAGGACCGAGATTTTATTCAACAAATACTTCTAAAGGTGGCGTTAGCCCTTCTTTTTGAATGAACAGATGAATGGATTGTTTTACCTTTGAGGCAACGTGGTAATTTAAGAAAAGAAAATGGGTAACTTTAGTGAAGAGCATTGACGTCCACTGGAGGACATAAAGGAGAAGGCAGTAAGGCAAGAGGAACCCCAGGCAGAGCAGGCAAATCTGTTGCTGGGTGCACTTTATGGAAAGTGGCGTTGGGGCTGGGTTATATCCAGCAGCTCCCGTACTGCCAGCTGCTGCACTGGAGCAGATATCCAAGGGCCCTTTAATGAAGCCACGATGCAGCCTGGCAAGTGCTGATCTGCAACCTCTGTAATTTGTGGGGCCGAATTTGCATCTCCTGGTGAACCTTCAGTAACTCCAGTGGGTTGTTTGGGAGAATCAGCTTTGTCCAAACTATGGTTTGGAGTTTTCAAAAGGGACTCTAGGTTTGCCCCCTTCCTTCAGAGTAGAATAAACTTGAAAATCAAGCCTAAAAATATTATATAAACGTGGCAAAGGTTGTCATGCACAGATATTCAAACTTTCCTTATTTTTCAAACTGTCAGGCCAGGTGAGTGTCTTCAGCCAAGGGGAGTCTGCCACCCCCCGAGGGGTCGGTCCCAGTGTTGAGCAGCTGTAACAACAAGGAAATCCTGAGGTCCAACCCAAAACAGCTTCCTTGTAATTTGAGCAGATTGTTGCTTGTTCAGAAGGCTGTCAGATGAGTGGCATAAAAAATTGATAAATATATTTATTAAATACATACATACATACATATCTTCTCTGAACAATTCTGTCTCATCTCCTGCATAACCTACCTGAAGATATAGGGAGTCCTCGACTTACAACAGCAATTGAGCTGTTTAGTGCATTTTGCCCCATTTTACGACATTTCTTGCAATAGCTGCTGAGTGGATCACTGCAGTTGTTGAGTGAATCTGGCTTCCCGATGGACTTTGCTTATCAGAAGGTTGCCAAAGGGGATCACACTACTGCAACTGTCACAAATAGGAGTCAGTTGGCAACGTCTGAAGTTTGATCGCCTGACCCTGGGGAGGCTGCAAACATTTGTAAGTGTGAAAAACGGCCATAAATCATTTTTTTCAGTGCTGTTGTAACTTTGAACGGTCACTAAATGTGCTGTTATAAGTCGAGGACTATATGCTATAGCACCTGCCCCTGGAATAATACCCTTCTGAGATCGGTTTGGCTCCCACCGTGATGATATTCTGAAAGTCTTTAAAATTTAAACGTGTTTATGTTACCGGGCATGGAATTTATCTCATAATAGAATCCAAAAGTAATGGAGGAATGGAATGGATATCTTTTTAATAGTAACAATTAAAAACTTTTGAAAGCGGGCTTTATAGAAATGATATTTTCAAGTGCAGATTTTATACCTTTGAACAGGTTTTGAGAGGGGGATGTACCTCCAGTAGTTCTAGTAAGTTGGTGGTGTTCCCACATCTTGGTGGCAGGGGTTGCACAAACTCTTCATGACTGAGATATTATGCTCTATGGCAGTGGTTCTCAACCTTTTTAATGTCGCGACCCCCAACTGGTTGTAAGTCGAGGACTACTCAACCGGTCGTAAGTCGAGGACTACTCAACTGGTGCAGCACCATTTGCAGAATGGGACTTTTGGCAGGCTCAGTAGGGCAGAGACAGCCTGGACAATTCCTATTGGCTTTTGAAAGCCAATAGAATTAGACTCTATTCAAGAGAGTCTATTCTATTGGCTTTCAAAAGCCAATAGAATAAAAGGGAGTAGCACAGCTAAGGAAAAGGGGGAAAAAATGGCGGACTGCGTTGTTTGGCGACCCCCGTGAAATGGTCGTTCGACCCCAAATGGGGTCCCGACCCACAGGTTGAGAACCACTGCTCTATGGCTAAATGTTTGTTTGCTGGCTTTGCGTTGGTCTGCATTTTGCATCAAAGGCATGAGTTTTCTTAGAAACAAGAATAAACAATGTTTAGTATACAAATCCACTTGGAAGATTTTGTCAAATCTAATTTCTCACTTGGTTTTTTTTTCAGATTTTGCAGGAACGAGGTTCGAGAATGTAATTATGTCATAGTATTGAATACAGAAGATTGTTTTATTTGCATCACCATACGACGAGGCTTGGCGCCAAGTAGAAGTCTCTTGTGCAGACAAGATGGATTTGTAATCTTTGAAAATGTTGTGGCCGGAGCAGGCCTGTGTTGCTGCTTCGTTCTGATGCTGGATCTGATTCCTGGTTGTGCTGATGGAGATCCCACGGAAGGACTAGGCTCTACTGTATACTTTTGCCCTGTAGAGCTGCAGCACTTTCTCCAGTGCCAGCCAGACGAAGTTGTGCTGGTTTGTGGGAAGTAATTGGGGGGTTAGTTACTGCAGGTGGTTCAAGGACAACATATTGGTGCTACTCCAGTCCGTATACAGGCCTCTGTTACTAGCAGCCTCTGTGAACTTCTCCTATACATTCCTTTGCGGTTCTAATGTAAGAATGTTTTAGGGAATAAGTATTCCTCTGTCAGGTTAAATGAAATATGTGTTTCCTAATTCCTCTCCCCTCTTCCCTTTGCTTCCTTTGTTACCCAAAGGGGAGAAGTCTCTTTTTGCCTGCATTTCTAGAGTTGGCCTTCAGATTGCTTGATCTTACAAATGTCAACATTCAGTTTGACTACACTTAAGGATTGAAGGCCAGATTTGTTTACAAATGATATGACATCTTGTCTTTCAAATACATGGCTACCCACCATGTTTTTTGAAAATATCTGCAAATATTGAGAGTGGAAAGCTGAAATTAGGCCTCAGATTTTAATCTTAATGGCTGCTCAGTGCAGAAGTTTGGGAATGAAGGTCTGTGTGCCCTAAAGCATAGAATTTAGGCAGCAGAAAGTGGGAATTCTTCTGATTCTTAAACAGATGTTTACAGTTATTTCTATATTCTTATCTATGCAGTTCTTTCTAATGTTTTGGCAAATACTGCCAAAATGAACCATAGTTTCATTAAGAGAAGCTTCTAGTAAATGTGAAAAAACACAACTGGATCTTTTTAGAGCACTGTGTTTAAATGGAACTCTTGGCACGCCTTTCAGAATAGTTTAAAGAGGAATTGGCCAAACTTCTCTTTGTTCTTTAGAAAGGTGTCCCTGCTTGTTTGAGGCTCTATAGCATTTTACCCATATTTTAAACTTTCATTAAACAAGTTACATAGTACTTTTTTTATAATCCACATGTACTGTCTCAAATGTCTGCCTGCATTTGGAGATGGCATTAAGAGCACAGAAGATCGCAAGGCCTCCTCAGTACTTTTGAAAGATGCTGAATTGATTAAAGTGTAATTACATAGAATAGCTGTACATACACATACACTCCCTGAGTATTCCTAGTCAGGATCCATGTTTTACTTCTGAGTTTTTGTGTCTATCACCAGTTTTTCCCCTGAAAGAAGTATTGCTTTGAGAAGTACTGAGAAACAGGTTTGTGTACATGGCCATGCCTCTTGGTAAGGTTGCCACTGAACTGACCTTGGCTGTGGAACATTCTAGAAGACAAATCAAGTGGCTTGAAGGATTATCAGTATACCTTCTCTAAAAGATGGTGCTTAGAATCCTACCTGCCCAGCTTCTTTTTGAACCACTTGAAGTTATTAGTAATTAGCCAGCTCATTATCAATGCCAGCCTGAAAGGGGAGAGCAGCCAAGCTGAGGATGGGGCAGGGGAGCCTCTTCACACGGCTGTGCATCCCCTTCAGCACGAGCTCAAGGGCTGGCTTTGGAACAAGTGAGTTGTTCCTCCCTCCCCCTTTCCATTTCTGAAGGTGGCCTTGGAAGAGCAGGGAGGGGAGGGGAACGTTGACACGGATTCGCTTTTGAATAGCAGGCAGTTCAGAAGGGCTATTTTTCTGGAGGAGCTTAAATCCAGGCAAAATACTTCCTTTGCGCTCATTTTGGTGTGATTTCTTGCTGAGTTGGGGATGGGGGTGGGAGTAGTATGTGAACAATATAACATCACATTTAAAGTTTATAACTCAAATTAACCTAAAAAGCATGGAATTTTTCTTTGTATTCTTCAAGATTATGTAATCTTATAGGGCATGAAGCTTTGCTTCCTGGAAAAAACAGTTTAAAACAATCCATTAACCATTGATTATCACTCTTTTATGGTAGTATCTTCCCACGTTGTCTTCCTCATTTCAACAAACACTGTTATAGAATGTTGATGGTCTTACCAAGGGAATTGGGTAGATTTTAATAACTTAAATTGACACTTGTCTTTGAAGGCATTTGCACTGATTCTGGATTCTGAATGATAAACGTTGGTGTTAGCAAACCTGTTCTTTTCAGTTATTCTGTCTAACTTTTGCACTCATTTTTATTTAATGACAGTGAAGGTTAAATGCTTTTTAAAATGCTTTAATATCTTGTAGTGTGTCCCCTTAAACTAATTTAATGCGTGGATAAGGCACAACAATGATGCTCAATAAAAGAACAACAATAGCAGAAGAGGGAGTTGTCTGAAGATCAGTAGGCTTCTTCCCCCCCCCCCCCAAAAAAAATAGGCTGTGAAAGTTCTCTCCAGATTTAGTACTCCTGAGGTAGGACCTCCCTATTTTGACTGGACTTTGCCTACTGAGCCCTGCATTTTGAGACTTGAATGTTGCAAAGAAATACAACATCTACTGTGGAATCAGTAGAAAATTCTCAGCTACAAGTTCTCTGCTTATCAGGCGGCCATAGTTCCTTAACACCAAGTGAAGATAGGATCTCAACACTCAGTGGAAACCTATAGAGATCAAGCCTTTTGGATCAGTTTTGCTGACACTTTCTCAGGGGCTCTCAAGCAACATCTCAGGCTGGTTCTTTTCCCCAAGAAAATGTCTCATTCCAAATATCATGGACTGTTTCAGGGCTAATGCCAATGAACCACTGGGAGGGAATTTCCTGCAGGCTTGCTGAAAAAGTTGTAGCAGTCCGATTTCTTTTTTTTTTGTTCTTGAAGATTTTCACATTAAGTCTCAAAATAAAAGGCCACCCTTGGCCTGGAAAGAATCCAAACCAAGAGTTTTATTCTATCCTCAGGCAGAAAGTCCCCTGATAATTTGGTATGCTATCTGTGTCAAGAAGGGCAGAGATGAGGGCAGTTCAGTGCTGGAAAAAGTTGCAGACACAACTAGGTAAAGCCTCTTACAGTTTACTGTGATTCCCAGATTATTTTAGAGTTAACATGTCACATCTTCCTTGTGGGCTGGAAAAAGGGAAAAGAAAACAAGTGGCCAAAGAATTCTGAGTTTTTCATGAATTAGAGTAGAATTTGAAAAGTAACAGTTTCTTGAAACACAGAACTAGTCACAATGGTTATTATACCTTCAGTATTTAAACAGGGTGAAGTCATCCTCTCGGGTTTGGTAAGAGCATCCTTTAGTCACAGAATGGGACAACGCAGATGTTTGTTAACTTCACCTATTATTCTTGCAAATAGCAAAGTTATTGCCTGGAATGAATACTTATTACCCTTTACATCAATTCACTGCCCTATATATTCTAAACCAAATTGTTCATTATCTCAAATAGCGAATCCCAAACTTCAACATTTGGAAGGCATGGTTAGTCAGGGCAGTATTTTGGTCAGTGGTGGTCGGAGGCAGATCAGCTAGAGGCATTTTTCTTCAGCTTGGCTTTCATCATTCTCAACAGCGGCGACCCATCCCATCCTGAATGCCAAAGCCTATTATAAACTTTAGTCCTAAAGGATCATTGTTGAGATGTCAACTCGTGTGTTACATGGGACACCAGGCCCAGGGTTCACCAAGAACAAGACTGAGCTACACTATTCCTGGGGTATAAGACTGGCAAGTGATTTCACAGAGTACTTGTGATTCCTTTAAGAAAACATGGTGTCTTATTAAATGAGGGCGACATGAATGAGTCTATTAAGGAATGCTGTTTTCACAGGAGGCAGTGGCTTTTGACAAGGATAGGAGGAAAAGATTTGCTTCTGGTGGGTGATAGAAAACCTATTTTATCCTGTCAACAGAGGAAATGCGATTTGCTTAAATTAAACCACTTTTTGGGTTGACAAAGCTAAGCTCAATGCTTCATATATAATGTGCTAAGCTTCAAACGTTTGTAATCAAGGTTAAAACTAACACAATTCTACATGTGCAGATGAAGTGGCTAAGTCTTTGGCCTGGTAATATATGTTCAAACCCAGCCACTGAGTCAGACTATTTCATGTAATAATCTTATTTACATGATCTTTATAAACAGGATGATTTCCAGTCCACCCTGCTGATGGCAGGGATCAATTTGGGGATCTTTTGCATGCAAAGAGGATATGCAGGTAGTCCTCAAAACTTTGTTTAGTGACAGTTTGAAGTTATAGTGGCGCTGAAAAAAGCAGGCCATTGCAGCATCTCCATGGTCATGTGACCGAAATTCAACCGCTTGGCAACTAGCTCATATTTATGAAGGCTGCACTGTCCCAGGGCCATGTGATCATCTTTTGTGACCTTCTGACAAAGTCAATGGGGAAGCCAGATTCACTTAACAAATGTGTTACTAATATAAGAACTGCAGTGTAACTCAACTGTGGCAAAAAAGGTTGTAAAATGGGGCAAAACTCACTTAACAACTGTCTCACTTAGCAACAAAAAGTTTGGGATTAATTGAGGTAATAACTCAAGTACTATCTGTATTGCCTATGAACTCTGGTCCATTCTCAGTGTTCCCAATATTTTTTGTTTATTATCCCAATATGGATAAACCGTACTTAAGGTTGCGTTTTGTAAGCGTCTTGCAGAAGAACCAGCGCAACTACCAGACTGTCTGCTGCTTCCCTGCGGCTCATTCTCCTGATCCACTTTCGTTGCAAGGATTCTGGCCAATAGTTACTGACAAAGATCATAAACAAGATTGCGCAACTATATCTGATGCATCCTTTTCCAGAACAGAGGGACCCTTTGGACGTTCATGCCCGTCATCTAATGGCTTGACTGCTGTAATGCGCTGCGTACGGGGTTGTCCTTGAAGACTCCCGGAAGCGTCAACCGGTGCCAAACGCCTTGGTGCGCCCCTGCTCCGTGAGCTGACCTGGCCGTTTCCCACAACAGACCGCTCGCCAATTCCATCGCGCAGGTGCGCGCCTGCCTTCCGGACCCAGGGTCCCCGGAGACCCCGAGGGCTTCTTCACCCCGGGCCGTCGCAAGGGAGAGCGGGAGCCTTGCTTTCCTTCTCAGCCGGCCTGGCCTCCTTGCCCTCGCTTAGCCTTTCCTTACTTTAAGTCGCTTTGATCGCAGGCGCCCGCCCGCCCCCTCGCCCTCGATTCCGCGTCCCTAATTCGCAGCCGCGGAGCCCCCGTTTCGGCAGCGCCCGCACCGGGCCCGACTCTCTCCCTGCCTCCAAGCGGCCACTCGGCCGGAGCGCGACGCCGCCTCTGGATCGGGCCCGGCCAGAAAGAGGCGAAGTGGGCGCCGCTCGCCCCGCTGCCGGCGAGCCGGGAGGGAGCGCGTGGCCGGAAGGGCCGGGCGGGCGGCGCTGAGCCGACGGGAACGACGCCGCGGATCCGGCCCCGCCCCTTCCGGCCTCCCGCCCGCCGGCTGCTCTCTGCCGGAGCGGGGGGCGTGGTCTCGGAGCGTCCCGCGCGGCGGCGTTCAGCTTCGCGCTCTCGACGCAGGCGCTGTCGCGCAGACGGGTCGCGCCGAGGGACAGGCCGTGCAGACGCGCTCCGTTTTCTGCGAGGGAAAGGCCGGGTTTGAGACAAAAGGGGGGGAGGCGGATAGGGAACATCCGGGTCATTCGTCGCCGCCGCCGCCTGAATCCGGGACACGCGCGGGGGTTGCTGCTGCCGCCTCCGCCGCCGTCGCCGCCGCGGGCGCTTCACGGTGAGGCCGCGGGCGCCGGAGGGACGCGCCTGCTGCGGGGGGCGGGGGCGACTGTCAAGGTCAGGCGGGCCCCGGCGGCGCTCCCGGCCTCGGCCTTCCGGGAGCCCCGCAGGCCCGGAGCCGGCCCTGACCGGCCGCCTTTGTGTCGTCGCAGAGTTCGTCGACCATGTCTGGGATCGCGCTCAGCCGCCTGGCCCAGGAGAGGAAGGCCTGGAGGAAGGACCACCCGTTCGTGAGTGGCGGCGGGCGGGGCGGGGCGGGCGGGCGAGGGCCTGGGGCGGCGCGGCTAACCTTCGGCTCCTCGCAGGGCTTCGTGGCGGTGCCCACCAAGAACCCCGACGGCACGATGAACCTCATGAACTGGGAGTGCGCGATCCCGGGGAAGAAAGGGGTAAGGGGCCCTGCGTCGGGCGGGGGGGCGGGGGGGGCGGGGGTCCTGCGCGGCCCCCCCGGCCGGCCGTGGCTCCCGTGACGGGGCTGGGGGGGGGGGAAGGCGGTTCCCGGGGAGGAAGTGCGCATCGGCTGCGGCGGGACTCCGGCCGGCCTGCAGCGGAGAGAGCCGCGCTGGCGTCCCCCTGAATCGGGGCCTCCTCGCCTGCCCCGCGGCCTTGGACGGTTCCCCCTCTGGGCGGCTCAGCCCGCGGAAGTGAAGCGCTCTGGGCAAACGGCGGCCCGTCTTGTGCTTTCCCGACAGACCCCGTGGGAAGGAGGCCTGTTCAAGTTACGGATGCTTTTTAAGGACGATTATCCCTCCTCGCCTCCGAAATGTAAGTCTGGTAAACCTCAGGGCTGCCAGGGAGAAGGAGCCCAAGCGCTCGACAAACAGCAGATAGGTTGCTCCTGGCAGATAGATTGAGCAAATTAGGAGGTGCATTGATATCTAATTTACACCCCCAAAGTTAGAAACTAGCTGCCTGCAAGGATCACCGGCTCTTTTCCTCTGGCTGCATCCCAGCACGCTGGTTTCAGGGTTTGATAAGTTCAAGAACTTGGCCAATTCTGATTCTCTTATAATATTTTCTATCTGCTTTGTGAAATCATTTCCTTTCAGAAGCAAGGACTATTATATCTCGGGTTTTGAGCAATTTTCAAGCTGTGTATAGCGCTCACAGTGCAAAATTACTTCTTTCGTTGTGCAAAAGTTCTTGGAATCCCCAGAACATAACAGGTTGTCCTGAATCACAGGAATTTGCCGCTTCCTTTATTTTGCATGACTCGCCTACTGAAGTTTTTATATGGGCAAAGATTCTGAAATTTACTTTTCAGTACCTTGTATGCTGTTTTCTGTTTGTCTCTTCTTGAGGATATACTTCTTTCCATTGGATTTTTCAGAATTTTCATTTTCATTTTGTTAATTGGTTCAGAATCTTACTAAGTGTTTGAATAAATATTTTGGTGCATGGAATAAATATTATTGGATACATTTTTAAAAATTGCTACATTTCAGATCTGAGTTTCAGCAGATCAGCTTCCTTTCCAAAAAATTTTTTTGTTGGTGGTCTTTCCCACCCAACTCCTGTGGCTGTCTTTAAATTATTAGTGCTCTTTTAAAAGAGATTTGGTTGCAAAAACCTCATTCAGAGGATCCACAAGAGATATCATCAGTCGTAGTCCTTAAGATCTTAAGGGATTTCAAAAGAAGTTCAATTGGTTTACTTCAGAGACGGGAATTCAAACTGGGTATAGAGACAAAGATCATATTCTTGCTCCCTAGCATTGATTGAAGCCCTGCTAGCTTTTAAAAGTGTTTTGCCAAATCCTTTTATCTGAACCAAGTTTTCCTTTCTCTAGGCAAATTTGAGCCACCCTTATTCCATCCAAACGTGTATCCTTCAGGCACAGTCTGTCTGTCTATCTTAGAAGAAGATAAGGATTGGAGGCCTGCAATCACAATTAAACAAGTATGCATTTTGTTAAAACCTGGACCTAATTTATGTATTATATTGACTCAAATGCTCTTACTTGTATACCCGTAAGACCTAATGATTTCTTAATATTTTAAATTTACAATTAACAGCTGGCAGTATGCATTTAATACATTGATGAAAATATGTATCTGATTTTAATCCATGATTTTGCAAGATGCGAGTGTACTTTACAGTGATTCTTCTCTCATTCTATGTTCTTAGATCTTGTTAGGAATTCAAGAACTTCTAAATGAACCAAATATCCAGGACCCAGCTCAAGCAGAGGCTTACACAATCTACTGGTGAGTTGCCTTTCAACTAATTTTTATAGCAAACATGGATCATCAAGTTTATGATTAAAATTGGTTTCATCTTTTCACGTATCAAGGATTAGGTCTGTGAACTGCAGGTAGTCCTTGACTTATGATCACAATTGACCCCAAAATTTATGTTGCTAAGTGAGGCCTCAGTTTTATGATTTTTCTTGCCACAGTTGTTAAGTGAATCATTGTGATTGTTAAATTAGTAACCTGGTTGTTGAGTGAATCTGGCTTTCCCCATTGACTTTGTCAGAAGGTAGCATGATCCTGGGACACTGCAACCGTCATAAATATGAGTTAATTGCCATGGGTCCGAATTTTGATCAGGTGACCATGGAGGTGCTGCAACTGTCATAAGTATGAAAAATGGTCATAAGTCAGTTTTTTCAGTGCTGTTGTAAGTTTGAATGTTCACTAAATGAACTGTTGTAAGTCAAGGACTGCCTGTATCTAATTTTGTTCCATTTTCTTTTAAAAACTCAAATAGGTAATGGAGCAGATTCATTTTCTGCTGCTCTTGGAACAAGGGCTTCATTTTAAACCCTTTTAGACAGGTCTCTTCCCTCTTAGAGTTGCATGTGGTACTGCATAATATATCAGGGCTGTGTGTGTATACATGTGTGTACTTAGGTACATTTTAAAAAAGATTGAGGTACAAAGGTTGCTGGGAAAGTGAGGCAGGCCCAAGGCGACCTTAGAGTAGGAGGCAGGCACTGTTAGCAAGTGAGACCAAAGGAGGGGGGTGTATTAGTCCATCCCTGCTTCAGAGAGGATTTGATTGATAAAACTTAAATGGCAGCCCATCTTATAAAACGACAGTAATATCAGAGATGAGAAAACAGTAGCATTTCAGTGTGTGTTGGGGGGGGGGGGAGAAGCCTGCTCTTGATGGCCTTCCAGAAATGTGAAGGGGGGGGAGGCTTCTTGATCTGGAGGGGAAGGGGGTGCTTCATAAAAGGCGCTCTCCTTGGTCCCGCTAGATGGCAGCATTTAGGGGGGGGACCCAAAGGTTGCCCTGGAATGAGCAGATGCTTCAGGGAAAGGCGGTCTTCCAAATAACCTGGCCCCGGCTGCCTGGGGCGTTGATGGAATCGCTATCCCTTTGAATTGCACCCAGAAAGAAACGGAAAGGCAGTGCAGCTTGGGCAGCAATGTTGTCACATGGGTAAACAGAGAGATGCCCAGCCCTGGGAAGGGTCAAAGGGGGAGGGGACAAAACTCCCAAACTCTGTCTAGCTAAGGTTGACCTGGAGCTGCTTCTTGCCCATCCAGACTCTCACGGCTGCCAGGCGCTGAGAGAGCACTGAAGTGAGTCATCAGCTACCCAGCTGGGGTGAAGATGCCTAATAAGTGTCATCAACACATGTAGATGTTGAAAGAAGTGGGCAGCCCAAATCCCAAGGCTAGACACCCCCCCTCCCCCAGCCACGGAGAGAAGGAGAATCACTGAAAAGCAGGGCTTCCCAATCTCTGTAGGTAACACAGAGGATGCCATGATCATGATCTGGCCTAAACCCAGGTGGAAAAGAGTCCAAGTAATCCACTTCACTCTGGGCCCGCTCAATCTCCTTTCCTAGAAAGGGAAAACTGAAGATTGGCTGGGTCCAAGGATGGCTTCTTCTAGCGGGGGGGGGGGGCACTGCCTCCTCCAGGGCAGGCAGAAGCACCTTCCCTCCCACAAAGAGGCACTCACTTCAGCTGCAGATTTTGACAGAGAAATTATTTATACCTCCATGCTTCTTACAAGCCAACTCACTGCGGTTTATAGGGCAACAACAAATGGTACTAAACAGGACCAAAATAATAAAACAGAAAATAACGCAAATAAAACTGTAAATCCATAACAGTCATTATCCAAATAATAAAAAAATTAAGAATGAAATGCTTATATAAGGAGGTCTTCTGTCTTGACACTCAGAAAGCAAAGAGAAAAATAACATTAACCCAAACGTGAAAGAGTGAAAATGTTCTGGGGCTCCTTTCGTGAAGGGAAGTCTCTCCTCCTGCCCATTCACTACAGGCAGTCCTTGACTTACAATCACGATTCAGCCCAAAATTCCTGTTACAGAGTAGAACATTTGTTAAGTGAGTTTTGCCCCATTTTACGACCTTTCTTGCCCCAGTTGTTAAGTGAATCCCTACAGCTGTTAAGTGAGTAGCACAGTTGTTAAGTGAATCTGGCTTCCTCCATAGACTTTGCTTGTCAGATCGCAAAAGGGGGTCACGTGACCCAGGGACAAGGCAACTGTCATAAATACGAGTCAGTTGCCAAACATCTGATTTTTAATCATGTGACCACGGGGATGCTGCAACCATTGTAAGTGTGAAAAATGATTATAAGTCACTTGTTTCAGTGCTGTTGTAAACTTGAATGGTCGCTAAATGAAATGTTGCTAGTTGAGGACTGTCTGTGTTCTGCTTCTTGGACCTCTTTAGGGAGGAGCCTCTACAATATTTCTTATCTAGAATGTAATTTATATGTAAACAAAGTTATAACTAGTAGCCACCACAAGTTTGTTAAAAAGACCAAACCAATCTTATTTCATTCTTCGATAAAGTGACTAAACTAGTAGACCAGTGAAATGCTGTGGACGTAGAGTGGAATAGAATTTGGAAGGGACCTTGGAGGTCTTCTAGTCCAGCCCCCTGCTCAAGCAGGAGAACCTAGACCAGTGGTTCTCAACCTTCCTAATGCCGCGTCCCTTTAATACAGTTCCTCATGTTATGGTGACCCCCAACCATAAAATTATTTTCGTTGCTACTTCATAACTGTAATTTTGCTACTGTTATGAATCGTAATGTAAATATCTGATATGCAGGGTGTATTTTCATTGTTACAAATTGAACATAATTAAAGCATAGTGATTAGTCACAAAAACAATATAGCAATGCTGGCTGGAGAAGGTTACTCTTTCTTGCTTAAAAATGGGAGGGAGGGAAGGGGAAGAAAGGAAGGAAGGAAGGAAGGAAGGAAGGAGATGGAGAAGGAAGGAGATTGAAGGGGGAAGGAAGGAAGGAAGGAAGGAAGGAAGGAAGGAAGGAAGGAAGGAAGGAAGGAAGGAAGGAAGGAAGGAAGGAGAGAGATTGAAGGGATGGAGATGGAAGGAAGGAAGGAAGAAAGATTGAAGGGGAAAGGAAGGAGATGAAGAAGGAAGGAAGGAAGGAGAGAGATTGAAGGGGAAGGGATGGAGAAGGAAGGAAGGAAGATTGAAGGGGAAAGGAAGGAGATTGAAGGGGGAAGGAAGGAAGGAAGGAAGGAAGGAAGGAAGGAAGGAAGGAAGGAAGGAAGGAAGGAAGGAAGGAAGGAAGGAAGGAAGGAAGGAGAGATTGAAAGGGAAGGGAAGGAGATGGATGGAAGGAAGGAAGGATTGATCTTTGGAGAGTCATGTTTTCCCAGATGGTGATGAACTGCAACTCCCAACATTCCCCACTCTTCAAGTGCTTTTTAGGGCTGCTGGGGATGGTAGAGTGGAGCCCCCCATCCTCATCCCGACACCTCTTGCCTTCTCCCAGCTGCCCCTCGGGACCTGTCCTGCCCCTCCAGCCTCCTGAGCGCCATCGCAGCGGCAGGATCGTGGGAGCCCTTTTCCACACCACGCAGCCCTTCACCGCCACAACCCTTCCCCGACTCGTCACACGCGAGAGGGGCATGGCCAGAGCGCCAGCTCCCACTCGGAAGGTGCCAGTTCTCCCCTCCCGGCCCATCCAGCTGGCCTCCGATGCACATGCGGGCATTGCTTTCTTCCCTGCCGCATGGCCGCTTCCGAGGCCCAGAGTCCGGCGAGCCGATGGTGAGGGAGGCGAGCCGGGCAGCGGGGGGGAAGCTCTGATGCAGTGCGGAGGGCGGCCGGGGGCGGAATGCAGCTGGGCAACCAGGAGGCGTGGGGATCGGCTCAGCGCTGCAGCTCAGCTCAGCCAGTAGCGGCGGCAGCGGTGGAGCAGCCCAGCGGCAGCGCCATCAGCGGCCCAGACCCGGACCGGACCAGCTGCCCACGCAGCTGAGCCGGCCCAGGGCAGCGTCGGGGACGCGTGTCAAGCCCCTGGGCTTGGCATAAGCCGGGAGGACGCAGCCGGCCGACGTCCGCATGGCCCCCATGAGCACCGCCTGACTCCCGACAGTCAGCTGGGAGTCGGGTCGGCATCCGGATGTCAGGGAACCGGCGGGGCCGCTACACACCGCCTGGCTCCTGACAGCCAGCTGAGAGTCGGCCTGGCGTGTGCACATCAGCTGGGAGTCGGCCCAGCCTCTGCTTGTCGGCCTGGCTCCTGGGAATCAGCTGGGAGTCCGCCTGGCTCCTGGCCAGCAGCTGGGAGTTGGCATTGCTATGGCACTGCAGCGGCAGGAGCAGGCGCTGTTGGAAGAGAAGGGCGCCCTGGAGGCGGAGGAGGGCGGCGGCCGAATAGAAGAGCGTTGTCTCGGTTCCTAAGACCATCGGAAATATGTGTTTTCCAATGGTCTTAGGCGGCCCCCGTGAAAGCGTTCGATCCCCAAAAGAGTCGCGACCCACAGGTTGAGAACCGCTGACCTAGACCATCTCAGACAAGTGACTGTCCAGCCTCTTCTTAAAAATCCCGTGATGGAGCACCCACGATTTCTGGAGGCAAGCTGTTCCACTGGTTAATTGTCCTCACTGTCAGGAAGTTTCACCTAAATTCCAGGTTGCTCTCTCTGATCAGTGGTTGATCAGTTTCCAACCACTGTTTTTTGTCCTGCCCTCTGGTGCTTTGGAGAATAATGTGACCCCCTTTTCTTTCTGGCAGCCCTTCAAATACTGGAATTGAAGTCTAAGTATATTGAAGTCTAAGTATACATAGGCATTTGATAAAGTAGACCACAACCTACTCATTGGTAAGCTAGAAAAAGGTGGAATAGACAACATCACCACCAGATGGATCTGTAGCTGGCTGGCAAGCCGTACTCAACGAGTAGTCCTCAATGGCCTACATCCACATGGAGAGAAGTAAGCAATGGGGTACCACAA